CACTCGATCTAATCTCATCCAACTATCTGGACCTCTGCAGGAATTTGAATGATTTGAATTTCAGAAATACTCATACATGTTTCATATATTCTTCAAGCAATGCTCACCAAAGTATGTCATTGACATTGTATATAGATGTTAACACATAATATGACGCACCTTTGACGCATCAAGCATCAAATTACATTAGGCCTTCACAGCAATTTTGAAAGACAAAATCCAAGTTAGAATCAAAACATTGATAGCAATTCATTTCGAGATTCAATAAATCAACTGTAACTTTTACAGCCTTTATCGGAGTTAATATTGAGAAAGTAACAACTAACCAACCACATGCGCATGAAAGACAAACTCTGCAGTATAGAATATAGTCCGGAACATCTATCCAAGACTCTGATAGATATTTTGTTTGAAAAGTGAGAACAACTAGACCTGTTTTTTAGTATCACGTGACTCTCTGAACTTTTCGCTGCGCATGCAGTTTGAAATGGCCGGCGAGAGATCTGTTTCGATGAAAAAAAAGACATGATTTAAATGGTGTAGGAGGATTATTATGGTATGACCGAACTACAGCAAAATTTCCATCTGTTGGAAAATGTCTGGGTTTGGCGGGTCCGATATGAATAAATGGATTTAAATCCCCTGTGCAAAATCCACAAGATACTGCCTTTTTATTCTGTCTCTACACCAGCCGACAACTTTCAAAATGGCTATCTGATGTTTTGGTCTATATAGAATCACACTTTAATAAGCATTTATTGAAATTTGTACCGTATCAAAAGGGCAATACATTGTAAGTATAATATTTCGATTGCCCATTCAAGGTCTGTATACCTGTGATTGCAGTAAAGGCTTTTGTGATGTAATAACATGAAAGTGCAATATCTTCAGTGGGAATTAGCAGAAACACATTGCCTAACTAATCATAAGCTGACTTTCAACTATCCTGTTGATAATTCCGAATTATAATGCTATCATTAAAGTCTGGAAATTTCAAATTTATTAAACTTATGAAGATACAATGTATTCTGTCAAAAACACATCTTAAAACAGTTATCAATGAAATATCAATGAAAAAAAGTGTTGAAGATTTCTTAGTTTACAAAAAGTGTAAAATTTGATGTGTTTTCACTTTATGTTCACTTTTTTGGACCCGGGACATCGTAAGAGCTTATTACGCCACCATAGCTGAAATCTAGCTCTATCAACTGACAACTAAATAAATGTTAAGGCGACTTTATTTCCTTCACCCGTCAATTTTCTAGTCGTGTTATGCTTATTGGTCTATTAAGCCAGATATTCAATTAGATTAAAATACACGATTGACTTACCAAAGGATCTTCTAGCAGAAATCCGATTTTCGGTGATATATCATAATCCACTAATTTCATATCACAAGCCTTAACAGACGACATTGTGCAAGTTGTAGGCTATTTACTTAGTCCATCGACAGAATATTTATTATAGGTTCGTGTGTCCTACTTTCTGTTCACAGTGTGTAACTAACTAGTCAACTTATTTACATTAAATATATACTGTAAGTTGGTTGATAATGGCCTGAATGGATAAGTATTGAACATGTGTAGCTGCCATACAGTTTGTCCGTTTCCTTTTATATGATGAAAAATAGCTTAGTCATTCGGATTGGCTAATATTTGAACAATTAATTCAGCCAGGACAGAAATGAAAGTAATACATCATACTGTTTCGCAGTCGTAATTGGGGTACATGAAAACATTGACAATAATTACTTATCTTAATGGATATACCGCTTTGTATAGAGATTACCATGGCACCTAGTATGCCCAACTGATGAATATACACTTATGGACCAAGTTTGAGACTTTAATTTTATATCCAGGTAGTAGTTTTTTAATGGGCCAATTCTTTATATCTACGACACACTTATTTTGTCGTACACTAAGCAGACCATACGCACGAAGCAGATCATGTTTACTCATGAAACATCACATCATGGCACTTCTCTTTGGATGAGTCAACTACTGTACACCTTTTACTCTCGATTTTGCCATTCTTTGGTAGAGATTTTTGATTGGCAGAATTGTCTTTCTTTTCCGTTTTTTATTTAAGATTCCAAGACAATATTAATGTCTGAGATGTCTCAGATGTTCGAGACCTTCCCTCCATGCAAATCCATCCTTGACTTTTATCAGATCATTTTTAGATCAACCAATCTTTATCGTTTTAAGTAGGTTTGTACCCAATTATTTTCAAAAACAAGTCTGAATTGTTTCAACTAAACAGGCCCTTACAGGTGTTATATGCGTGACAAATGACGATTTCATGCGTCACTTTCCATTTTTTAATTGATAACTATAATGAAAATACTTGTAGGATGATGTTAAAAGTATCAAGATATCATTTATTGATAGTGAAAAATAGAGCTGAGTAAACCGTTTGATAAGTATAATGTACATTGTACATGTAGTAGTATATTATGAGAAATAGTATGGAAAAATTACATCAAGAACTTTCTCTCAGTCTAATTAAAATAAGACCAACCTTTCATTCCGTTTTTTTTATTAGCTTTTATTTTTAACATAGCCACTTCAGTAAAGGTTTAACTACAGCCCTCTTATCCGTTCGTAAAAATTAACCTTTAACCTAACCTGATAAACAACGCAAAATATCAGCGCTGGAGAGGGTAGAGATTTGATTGGTTAAAGCAGACGTCATCAAGTTAAGTCAAGAAATTAATTTGACGAACTTCAAGAGGGCTGTGTTAGACCTGAACTGAAGTGGTTTTATTAAAGCTAAAAGCTAATAAAAAACGGAAAAAATATTTGGTCTTATCTTAATTAAACTGAACTTTAACTTTACAGGCTATTTTACCACACAATGGTATCAAATAACGCTCCAACTTGACAGCACTCTGAAACTTATTTAGATTCAACTTTCCGAATTTGTCGAGAGTTGCCGAATGAATGTATGCATCTACTTAACCGAAATATAATTTATGATTTATTTATATATGACTCGGCGTGTTTTTGCCAGGTGATTTTAATCCCGTCACCCACAATTAGAGTACATATTTCACAATATTTTGTTGTTAATCTTTTCATTAAAAACCTTTGAGAGTCTGATGCAATTTCACGATTATTGTAATGAGGTAAAAGAGTGTTAAGAAGGCTAAAGTACATTAATCGCATCTCCCGAAAGATAGCTTTATCATCTTCAGAGTAAGTCTCAATTTGGAGTAGAGATAAAAAAGGAATTTGTCACAAATAAAGTTGATTTATTTAACTGTATCTTTGGTATCGTTTCTGAGGCCTTTAAGGAATGGTATTAAATCTGAAAAAACAAATGCTCCAAAGATTAACTAAATGTTACAATGAGAATACAATAATTTATTAATTAATTTACGTTTAAGAGTTGTGAGCCAGCTTTATAAGAAACAACAACAATTATGACAAGTTTAAAGTAATACTGTGAAATGAATTTTTAATTTAACAATCATGGCAATATAGTCTGTTAGGGTGGTTGAAAGGTAACAGAAGGCACTGGCACAGGTATATAGAGGAAGTACTTACTTTTGTTATAATTTTTTTTAAATTTACTATAACATTCAGCTTAAAATCGTTTTTCATAACATAAACATTTGAAAATACACCAAATATAATGGCGCATACTCCACTTTAAAGATACTTGTTCGCTATTCTTTTTGACAAACCATACTTTAGTCTCAGAAACGAGAATTTTTAAGCTAAGCCATTCAGTAACAGTGTTCACAGCTTGCCGTCGAAATTTGAACCTTCAAATACATGTGTGTCTAGTATTATCCGCGTTTGAATGCTACAAATAATGACAAGATACCTTGTGATATATGGAAAAGACATATAGAAATAGTGAGTAAAATTGATATATTGAGATATTTTTAAAGGAATTATTTTTAGTACTTCTTAAGACTATTTACATATTTTCAAGACTCAAATCAACCCCCCAAAATGGAGCATTTGTCCATTTAAGTATAAAAAGTTATAACCTAGTTGTAACGACAAAGAAACTACACATATATAAAGATAACAAACACTACAATAATATACAAAGATCACATACACTGTTAAGGTACATCGATTAACTCATGTTCAATTTAAAAAAACAAATTACTAAAGACGAGAGTATAGGTTTAATGGAATAAATATTTGTTAGATGGAATGAAAGTAAAAGCTTAAAGCAACACAGTGCTTTAATTACTGATTCACATTTTTAGTAAAGTCTGCTATAGCAAATTAAATAACATAAATAATTTATGGTATACTACTGTTTTTTTATTATTGTACAGTGTTTCAACAATCTTCATTGGCATCTTTAGGTGAAATAATTACATATGATCTCTACCCCTAAATGTCCTTTAAGGATTACTTTTTTAAATGATAGTCAACACGTTCTAGATACAGTGAATCCCCATGTATCGACAATAAAATGAAAGATGGTACACTTACTTGTGCCACCGGTACCTTTTTTAGACAAACTCTCGAATTCTTTATTACTATTCTGCTTACTGGCAGCAATTACAATATATCTAGAGAAAGTGAAAAAAGACTGATTAGAGCTAATGAGGTATAAGTGTTGGAAATATTATCTAACTATTTGAGATTTGACATTTCTAGATGCTTTCACAATAGTTTTGAGAATGATAGTCACGTCTTCATAAACAAACACTATTTAACCGTTTCGTGGTCGTAAAACATATTGTGCTAATTCAAATTCAAGTCTTTTTCTATCAAAAATTCCCCTTACTTACTTAGTGACCATTTGTATATGGTAACTTCTAAACTGTGTAACAGATTCAATACAACTATTATATACTTTCTTTAATTCATCATTGTAAGTAGTAAGAACTTAAAAAAAATATAATATTTAATCAAACACAAAGTCAAAGTCAAATTCTAGAACTAGACCTAGATCTCATCAATATAAATGATCACACCAATTTCATTAATATTGATTTCATAATATCATTATAAAAATTGTACTCTCTTTTGTTTACATGGACAAATTTTGACGCGTTTTTCTAAGCCAAGGACAATAACTCAAAAACCGTTCATCGAAAATGCGTCAAGTTAGAACTCGTCCAATTCCAATGATCACACCACGTTTCATCAGAATCGGATGAAAACTGTAGCTTCAATCCTGCTCACGAACTATTTCTAACAAATTTCAAGGCGTTCTAAGTCAAGGGCAATATCTCAAAAACCGTTCATCGAAAATATGTCAAATTCGAACTTGACCGAGATCTTATCAATCTAAAGCATCACACCAAGTTTTATCAAAATCAGATGAAAACTGTAGTCTCTATAGTGCTCACAAGAAATGTTGACGGACGGACCGACGGACCAAAATCTCATTAATACAAATGATCACACAAAATTTCATATAAATCAGATGAAAATTGTAGTCTCGTGTTTAGAAACAAAATATGATGCCGTTTTTTTTCTCAGCCAAGGGCAATGAATCAAAAACAGTCCACAGTCCACATTTCCATGTGGGCGTATAAAAATGAAGGAAAATTCACCCATTTCGCTCAGTTGTCTAGGTAAGTTTTCTATATCCTCTATAAATTGACGATGTTTAGGTAACATATATTTTCTCATTAGTTTCAGAAACTTTTCTTTCTCTAAAATTATATACAAAAACCTGTCAAATGTAACTGAAATGGAATTTCACATCACTACTAAAAACACAGTGTGGATTTCAAATATCCTAGTACCTATACTGAAGATAATCGCTTACAATTTGTTTGGTAAAAAGTACACACAGCAGTTGTACTTCAAAGGAACAGTTCGTAAAATTTTCACTATCTCACCCATCCAAGTACTAATCGAGCCCGACGTTGGTTAACTTCAGTGATCGGACGAGAACTGTGGAACAATATCTAAAATATGCTTTTTACAACTATGTATCTCCTTGCTCAAACTGAATTTGTTTTATAAGGTTTAATTATAAACATAGTGTAAATTAAGTAGAGAAAAATGTTAGTATGCCATCTTGTGGAGGTACTTTATATAGCAATTCATGTACATCAGAATATTTACCATCCTTATGTTTGATTCCTAGAACAGCATCAATAGTCTGTAAGATGGTGCTCTGAGCAGCACTTCCTCCCAGGGCCTGTGATAAAACCATAATAAAACAAAGTTAAGATTAAATGCAGAAGAACCATGCTGCCATTTCGATACAACGATCATCGTTTGAAACTTCAACTCAATATCTCTCTATTTAATGTAAATAGATTAAAAAAACAATATTATATATGGTTTTAATTGATTAGTATATCTGACAATACCTCACCTTTATTGGTTTATTATTTTCTACACCTTCATATATCAAACCATCTGGCATTGGACTGTCTTCCCCTCCCCATCTTAGATAAGAAAACATTGCAATAAATTCCAGAGGGTATCTCTTTGGAAAGCATCATTTTAGGTAAATCAATTAATTACAGAACCATATCATGTCTTACTATCTGATGTGTCTGATGAATACTTACCCGGCAAGAAATGGTCGGATGACGTTGTAAAACAACTCAGAACTTAGATTATCTACAAGAAATTAAAGACAGAACTTTGTAAAAGTGTAAAGTTATATGACTTAAAAGAATTATCTATTTATTGCTTGGTTGGTGTTAATTTTTTTCCATTTTTTCCACAAAACAGAATTATAAAATGATTTGTAGAGATTTGGGCACCCGGAACATTTACAGCTGAATCAATTTGATCAGGTTGCAAGTAAAGACATAAAAAGAACATTTAATTGGAGTAACCGGGTCCCAAAAATGTTCCCTGGTTAAAATGTGCTACAAAGTTCAAAATATACCATGCATCCTCGACACAACAGTTTTCAACTGTCTGATAACACTGGTAAGATTCTGTAGATTTGTTATGACCACTTCTGTATCTCCATTCTGAACACCGTTTAATATTGTTAATATAGGCTAGAATAATATTAAGACAACTATGATATCCATATAATCTCAAAACAATTTCATACAAGAACCTGACAAAACCTCAAATGCAGCTTAGATCTTTGACTCATTTGCTTGGGGTTTTAGTGGAAAGAAAGAAAACAGTTTTAAGAAATATCTCAATCTACATTTAGAATACAATACTGTCGACTAAACTGACATACAAGAAATATCTTGTACAAACTCTATGAAGTTTTTCAGATAATTGATCACCTATGAGCTACAACCACAATACAATCAATAGAAAAAGATAATAGATAATTAAATTGTCATACCTTCAAAGAATTTGCAACTTCTAGCTCAACTGCACCAGTAACAATACAAAACCAATTACAACTATCACCACCAGGTACTTTATAAGTACTTTTCATGTTTCTGAAAAGCAACCAGAATTATCTTTTAAACAGAAAGAGGCTATTATACTTCAGAAACCACTCCTGTATTGTGTTAAATTTAATTCTAAATGTTTATTCATCGCAATTGGACGTTTACCCCTAGCACACAACATTCTTGCTTTTGATCTTTATTATTGCTATTTGCAATAGTTACCACGTATTAAAATCAGCATGTATAAAAATTTGTGCCAACTAACTTTAAAAAAAACTATAGATGTCAATCAGAAATTCAAAACCAATGTCTAATTTTCAAAATTTAGACGTTAAAAATGTCAAGGGAACCTATTCCTATGTTATATGTGCAAAATACCATAATATACAGATAAAAAATTCACTTACTCTAAACTTAAAGGTCTGAAAAGGAAAAGGAATATATTGATTTATAAGTGCCTTCGCAAAAAGCAGCTTTAATATACTTAAACTTAACAGTATGTATTAATCTGGGCAATACTTAAATAGTAAAATAATAAAAATATTGATCAAGATATTGTGAACTCATACTCTTCATCAATATAATGATTTTTGCATGCAAAGTTTCGTCAAAACCTGATTCATTAAATGCACAAGCCAATGTTCATATATAAATAATATACAATGTATGTCCATAACTAAAAAACGTAAGTCACTATTGTGCTCACAAGAAATTATTGACGGGGGATGGACTGACGGATACCCAGGGAGATGGCTAACGACAATCTGGACGTATAAAACTTAAAGTCATAAATAAAAACTATATATACAATATTTCTAGACCAAAATAAGTACAAGTCGATTGTCAATATGATTAGGACATCAATGCTTATACATCATCCTACCTCTCTGGATCTATCTTTTTACAGTTAGCTAAACAAAAGGATGGGTGACTTAAAATTGGTTGAATATCTAATCTTTTAGACACATTGTACCATGGTACTGCTATACATCTTGGTATCATCTGCAAATAATAATGCTTCATTATTCTTTTGTAAGAGCTTGCATGATCCAGAATTTTTGTTTTTTTGCATAATATACATGCAAAGATACATCAACAAATTCACACTAACTAACTAACTAACTAACATAGACAAATTTGAACTTTACTCTCATTAATATATACATACATACCAAGTTTCATGATGATCCGATAAAAACTGTAGCCATCATTGTGTTTACAAGTCAAATTTGATATATTTAGGGTAATAATTAAAAAAAAGTTCGTTGAAAAATCGTTAAATTGGAACTTGACCGCCATCTTATCAATCCCAATGCTCACGCCAAGTTTCATCGAAATCCATTGAAAATTGTAGCTTCTATTGTGCCCACAACAAAATATTGACGCGATTTTACTAAGTCAAGGGCAATAACTCAAAAACCGTTCATCGAAAAATCTTAAATTCGAACTTGACCGCCGTCTAATCAATCCCAATACTCACACCAAGTTTCATCAAAATCCATTGAACATTGAAGTTTCTATTGTGCCCACAGTAAAATTTTGACGCGATTTCAGTCAAGGGCAATAACTCAAAAACCGTTTTTGGAAAAATCATCAAATTCGAAATTGTCCGCCGTCTTATGAAACCCAATGCTCACACCAAGTTTCATTACAATCAGATGAAAACTGTAGTCTCTATTGTGCCCAAAAGAAATGTTGACGGACGGACCGATGGGCAGGGGCAACGACAATATACGACAAATTCATGTGGGCGTATAAAAAATTAGATAAGTTAAATTAAGTGTGTTGTTTGAGTCATTGAATACATTAATAGTTTACTTTTTTAATCTGTTGGTCCTAGTTGTTTCTGAATGAGAATTAGTTTTTGCTTACATTTAACCAACAAATATGTAAATATCAATTGTGATATTATTTGTATTCATGCGTCTTTTATCGTAAGTGGTAAAAGTTTTTGAGTGCCTTCCGAAAAAAATGATGCACTCAATCGTTGTTAATATTTCAAATGATCATGGAATTTGATAATGACCACCTTTGGAACACCTTTATCACCATCCTGCCATATATACCCGCTACCAATAATTGATAGTTGAAGATGAGCTAATCTTAATTCTTTATTATTCGCTAGTTTTCCGTCGGCAAGTTCTGGAATCTACAAAACAAGAATAAATGTCAAATCCTTTTTCTGTTGAAATCGTAGAAAAGAGAGACGGATATTAACGTTTCCGACATGACTTTTTCAAGAAAAATTGTGAGATTATTTTCAAGGCACCTGCGTCTTAAATCAATAAACTCAAATCATAGTGAACAAGAAATGTTTTAATTTTGTAAATGGAAAAGGATATTGGCAGCTCCATCTTATATTGTACCTTTTTCACTTCTTCCCTAAATATACCAGCCAAAACTAGTTCTGGCATTGCGCTTGACAATTTGTTCCATGGTTCAAAGTATTCTGGAAGTTTTTCCTGTAAATTAAAACAAAACTAATTGCACTTTATACTTTTCTACACTTTATTCCACAAAGAAAGTTTAAGGGATTGCAAAGAGATTATCTAAAACCAATTAAAGAGCGAGAATTGTACAGAAGCAACTTGGGAATTTAGCAATACAGATTATATTAGGAAAGATATACTGCATGTGTTTCGTCCCATCCATCACTCTTCGTTTTTTTTTGCAATTGCTCCAACTAGTTTGGTGTGTAAATATTTTTTACCAAAGCTTGATAGTACATGTAATTCGTCCATTGTAAGAGAGTTTGGTTAAGTACTTACTAAAGGGTCTTCTAATAGAAAACCGACCTCTTCTGAAATATCATAATTTTTTAACTTCACATCACAAGGTTTTGACATCTCAATAACAAGTCCACTGTCTATACGATTTCGGATCTGTCCTATTTAAAGACAACAAACAGATAAGCAAGTTCTAAATGTAAATGTTGTAGGTCATAGATTCTCTGATAAGAAAGTTCTGGACAATTTGTTTTAGTACAGCTGATATTTTAAAAAGATTAATTTGCACATTATCTGCAGAATAACTTGGTTACGTTTTGAAACTCTCCTAAAGCTAAGATTCCATATACGCGTCATGCGGATATATCATGCGGACATAAATGGCCCTTGCGGATCCGTCATGCGTCAAATATGATTCCGTTTGTGCATTAAACGTATGCGTTATCTTTCTTTTGACGCAGTGACTTCTAGACCGATGGATGCCTTGGTGCATAAAAAAGACAAGGAATCCCCACAAAATACGTCACATTTGAGAGAGGACGCGGAAAGGCGTCCGGATGAGCCAAAGATAGTGGACCACAGCCATATACGCCCATCGCGGCATACGGATGGTAAATATTAAAGATTTTGGGGCAAGGGCAATAAGTCTGCTTGCCGCTTCTTACGGTCGAAAATAGCTCAAATTCGAACTTGATCTTCGTTTCTTTTGATTCCATCAATAAATCTAGTTTTTAGAGCGTTTACAAGCAAATGATGTTGATAGAAGCACTTACTGTATAGAGGTTAAGGGCGATAACTTCTCAAAACTGACGTAAGAGGCCTAAATCTTGTAAAAGCCTTAAATTTAATCAGAAGTAAACTAAACTAAACTTTTTTTAAACCTTTCGATTTAGGTCCAATAACATCAATTTTAAGTTTCATCAAAATCGGTTGAAAACTAAGAGAGTAATAGCATATTCAAGATTTTGGGGCAAGGGCAATAACTCTGCTTCTAACGGTCGAAAATAGCTCAAATTCGAACTTGATCTTCGTTTTATGAATATGTATACACATACCGAATTTCATTTGATTTCATCAAAAACTCGGACCGACGGACGGACAGGGTGCCGACAATATACGTCCACATATAGAGATGTGGACGTATAAAAATCGCTACACCCAGCGATTTTTTTTTTGACGCATGACGGAGACCATTTGACAGATATCGCTTCCGCATATATGGAATCATACCCTTTTAAACCAACCATTTCGATTTTTAACGCATGACGGATGACGCATGACGCGTATATGGAATCTTAGCTTTAGCTTTATTTCATTCATGAGAGACTTTATGGATCTCTTGACCACTAATTGTCATAGACAACCGTAGTTAAATTCAAATTCTTTATGTCTTTAGTCAATGGCTCATAAGGCACAAATTAATATATACATATTCATAATAATATATAATACATACAAAAGCAACGGAGACTAAATTACAAATATTCAAAAGTTATAGATGCAGTTATTAACAGCTACCACAATAAATATCAAGTTCAAATCTCGTTTTCTATTGGCATAAAATACATATTTGATATATAATAATATTTGATATCATAGACATTTAATAATTGTAGGGAGCCCGGTGGCTCAGTGAGTTAAACGCTTGCTCGCTAATCTAAGGTCCATGGTTCAATCCCGGCATATTTTTTCAACCCGGTTTCCCCTTGTCAGTGATGCAGGTAAGAGGGACTGACATGGAAAATGTGTCTAGTCGTTCGGATAGGACAATAAACCGAGGCACCATGTGCTATAGGCTGTGCACATTAAAGATCCCTTAAAAGCTGGAAATCGAAAAAGAGAAAGCTAATGCCGCTGTCCGGGCAAAATTTCCCACGTAGCATCCTGCAAGGCGTTGCCCGTCTTCATTACCCACATGGTGAAGAAAAGTAGGACGTAAGCTAAAACTCCATTCATTTCATTTAATAATTGAAATGAATAGTTTAAAAACACTACGTTTATCAAAATAATAATATAATAATATATTGACATCTTTAATCTTTATAAAGCGGACAAAATAAAATGATACTTATCCTCAATATCTAATAAACAGGAATAACAACAACAATAAATAGTTTTGTTATATCGCACTCTCTGTATATGTAAATAATTTTTCTTGATATTTTCAATGGAGAACGATCAAGTTCAAAATTAAATCATCGACGAATTAGTTGAATTGCTGACAGACAATATTTTCTTTAGAAAAACAGATGCATTTTCCCTAAATCATCACCTTTTATGGAATTCCCAGATTTCGGCTCCATAAAACAAAATACAATACTTATATATGTATCGAAGACAGAAAGCTTTGAAACAGTTTTAAATTATATTTCTTACATACCTTATCGATATGAAATAATTGAAACTACTTACACCATTTAATGTCTTGTTACCATAATTCCATGAGGTTTCTCTGATTTTATTTTACCCCCATTTCTAAATATAACAAAGTATAGTTTTAGCAGTATTCACAGTCATGGTATGTAGATGAATTTATATTTGAATAAAATCGTTAAGCTGACACACTTCAAGTAAAATATCTTGCTTTTTATGAAGGATTGTGCAAAATGCGGAAATAACATGTTCAGTCCATTTAATTCTGGGTTTTCGTTGTGGTATTTGTATCACTTTTGGACATATTGACTGTATGACCAATACATGAGTTAAAGCTACCAGATAAATATATAATAAATCTGTATTAGGCCTAAATTCAAAGCACGCCGGAGCATGGTCAAGAAGATACATAGATATAATAAGCATATTTTAGAAACATTTTTAAGTACGACCTTTTTGATTAAAACTTTTTACAAAAAAAGCGGTATACCCCTTTAAGAACTAGATCTTCTATAATAACAAAAATTTCAATATTATATTTAAAATAAAACACGCTTTTACTTCAATCATGAATACAGATTTTCAATAAGTCTACATTGTTTTGCATAAGTGTCTCTTACAAATATAACTACACTAACCCCCAGTACTGTACTTCCTTACATATATATGCTCTGTAAACCCTGATAAAACAAGCATAGAATTATCTTGTATCCAACATTCTTATAGGAAAATACGCAAAAATGTCACAAAGGTTTTATAAGACAGCTTTTAGTTAAACCAGTGTTTTTATATGTGATCATTGCATGGATGTCCACTCCAAGTATTAATTATACAAACTAAATTGTATAAATCTTTATGAACTATCAAACTGTGCATTTATACACAAGATCGTTCTAGATTTGTATTCAATTTGATACCATTATGTCATTCATAGTCCACCGTATAAATAAATAATAATTGCACTATTTTGTCTCCATAGAATTAACGGTCAAATTGTTAGAATATTGTCAATAGCAAGTCAGAAACAAAGAAATGACTACAAACAAAGGTAAATTCACTGTTACAGAGAGTAAAAAAAGAGATCATTATACATACATATGTAGCCTACTCATAGATAATTGGGTCAAGATCATGCGACAGGGAGATAACCACTGTCAGTCTCTAACTCAGTGACTACATTTAACTCCATTACTCAACTTCAGGTCATTCATACCCACAGAGTTAAAAATAGAACTTATTATGGATTAATTAACAACTTGTTCTCTCGAAATGGATTAAAAGTGTTCCATTTGACCAAGAATTGATGACAACCCTAGTTTGACAGTTCCAATCGGTAAACGTTAACTAAATTTCGTGTTTATACATAGAAGGCAATGGTGAAATAGAGAAATACTGAGCTTGAAGACATGGATTTACAATTGGACAAAACTTGTTATATTACATTCCCGATGACAGTTGGAGAATCGCATTAAAACGTAATAACTATCCATAATAATTGTCTTATTTACTTATTAAATTAGTTTATTACCATCAGTGATCCGTTGGATAAATGTCATTAAAGTATTCCGTATTATTTGCAGGTAGAAATGATTTTGCTAAAATTTATGTAATCATTATATCAACATCCAGAGAATCGTAGCCATTAACATTCTTCATTTATACAAGTCGAGTAACCTAATTTCGTGGAAACCTATTATTCGTGGATTTCCGGAAAGGATTAATAATTTACATGAGCAACCTTGCGCGACCTCCGCATTAGTTTGTTTTAATAAACATGGGTTTTCTCTACAATATCATCTAGTAGAATGAATCCAGTAGTTTCAAGCAAGGTAAAATGTATTAATGTATACTTTGACAAATACAAAATGGCGGATTTCAGTTATTACCAAACGTCACCATTTTTTATCAGCCGAATTTCCTTATAATCCCTAGCCGTAATCGGAATTCCAAGTGTCGTCTGCTAGAATGTAGTCCAACGAATGAAGTCACGTGATCAACTAGCGGTTTCCGTGTCAGCAGAAAATTTCTATGCAGCACAAAGTGGACCATATTCTTATGTTGATTCAGTGACTTTTATCAATAAATTACGCTACGTATCTTATTTTGTCAGTCACTATTTTTTTTTTAAATCGTGGTTCTTTGAAGGAATTGTCACTAGTTATAATGAATTGATATTAAAGATAAATACTAAGAGAAGTTAATTATACCACCTGGTATCCATACAACGTGTTTTTCTAGACTTATTTATAGTTCAAACATTGTACCCGAAAATAGGTGACGCATTCTGACGCCATTGCCGAGTTGGTTGCTCATGAAATATGGGTCAAAGTGAAGGATTCATAAAGAAAATGGAAATAAACCAATTTTAATTATTTTGTAGAATATCTGAGGAAACATCTAAGACATAAAAAATTTTTTTTTGTTTTTTTAATTTTGACGAAATTCGGTGTTGAATCCTTTTATCCACGAAAATAGGTTACACCACTGTACTGTTTACAAAGGTGTCAGCCATTTTGAATTAAGGAATAGTTTCAAGATTATTACATATTTCTGCATTCAATGCATTCAAAATTATTACATTTACACAATTATATATTGTTTTCTTCTTATTTATATTTATATAAGATATTTTGCTATCTATTTGAGATTTATATACAATTGTAGCAGGTGGCATATTTAATGTTCCGTAATTTGATACAAACCGGAAGTTGGAGTTTCCAGATTATTCTGCACGTTATGGCATTTCATCAATCGAGATTGCACGTGATTTTCGTGAGCAAACACTATAAATAGCTCGATTGTACCTTATTACAGGCAGTCGGTCGGTAAACCGCTCGGGGTAGGCATGTTCGTTCTGTGGGAGTTATAACACTCCGCTCATAGAGTTAGCTCTTACCTTAGACAGACGATCTGGCTGTTCGATTTGGGGTTGTGGTTGCTTTGGGTCTGTTTAGTTTCCAGTCAAATCTGAATCGGGAACATAACGTTCAGATAGACTGATCTAAAACGGGGACTATTGTCATGAATCGGGGATTTTGAATGTTTGTGTTAATGTATTGTTTGAAATTCGTTCTGTGATGTCTTGTCTTGAGTTAATAAATGTGTTTTTGTTTAATTATTTATTACTTCCCATTAAGATCAGTATCCTGAAAGGACCTGGAACTCCTGGTGTATTGAGACACGACGGGATTGATATTTGGGTTGGGGGTTTTTTGTCTGAAATAACTGCCCTAGATTGTCTTCTGCTACACAATCTACATTTTTAATTAGATTGTCTCCCTTTAATTTTTTGTCCATCTGATAGTCCATCTGTTTCAATATCGAGTAAGAATGCTGAATCTGAGGAAGGTCTGCACTCTATAGTTCATAACCTTACATCCCTTGTTCATAGTCTTAGAAGAACCATTGTCAAGATAAGAGGAGAATAAAGGGTCAATGAAAACTTATCTTCCACGAATCCACAGTTCTGACTATTTGGCATGATACGAAAGACACTAGGCTCGGAAAATCGAATAAGAAACAACTTTTGGATGCAACAGATTCTGAACGTACCGTTTTCGATGCAGCCAAACTGGACATCTAAGAGTGCAACAGCACATGTCTATTTCAAATGATGAAGGTCTACTTTATGTCAATTCACAGGATGTCATTGGGCATAGTAACACTACAGTGGTTGCCATTAATGGGAACATCTGTTCAGTCAGTAAAGTTGAGTCGTATTTATCCTGGGTTAATCTGATTCGATTTGGTCTAAAAACCATTTATCCTGTATCAAATCAAATTTGATTATGGTAATCAGCGCATTTATTGTAGCAGCGAATCAAATCGATATACGTTAATCGAGTAAATCAACTTTGAAGTGTCGTAGTTCTGTTAACTTCCGCTTTAGTAATGGTGTCCCAACATGTCAAAACCATTACGTGCAAGGTACATTCTTCCTGCTTTGCCGCCATCTTGGAAACTATAAATAGTATAATGTTCATTTATCATGCAGTATAAATCAGATTCGATTTGTGATGTCATTCTGATTAGGGTAATTGAATCAGATTTAAGTGCGTAAAAATGTCTTTGGTTATTGAGAGTGCTGGTGGCGAGTCTTTGCCATATATTGGGTGTATCCCAGTTAAAATCCCCAGTTTAAATTCTGAAGGCTTTGACTGTTTGTTTCTGCTACTCCAGTTTTGATAGGAACTCAAGTTTTGAAGCCACTGAATCGGCATTTCGCTGATGGGTCAAACAGAGTTGGAGGTGCCAGATATATGGAAGTCATGAGGAAGTAGTCCTTCGTTCATAAACACCAAAAAGGTAAAGCAGAAGTCTTGTCACTAACAGATAAACGGCTTTGTTTACATTTGTGTCTGTTGACACTATTTTCTCCACATTGTCCATAGTTTATTAATATTGACAGAACTTCAAGGGTCTAATGCCGCGCCTCAATTCTATTGTGTGATTTGCGTTCTGTACACGTACGTTCATGGGCGAAGTTTGGATCATTTTTATACGCCCACATGAAATGTGGAGCGTATATTGCCGGTCCGTCCACAATTGCTCGTAAACACAGTGATTTCGACGAAACTTAGTATGATTGTTTGTAATCACCCAAGGATGAACTTTATTGAAAATCAGAAAAATCGAAAAATATCTAGTATGATTTCTATCCCTTGTTCTTGAAATGCTCGTAAATGCTCTAGATTTTGATGAAACTTGGTGTGTGTTTGTAATCAACCAAGGATGAACCCTAACGAAAATCAAAAGAATCGAAAAACATTTAGTATGAGATATTGCCCTTGTTCCAGTTTTAGCCTGTAAACACTCTAGAAGGTCCAGTTCTTGATAGATTTTGACGAAACTTGGTAATGTTATTCAGTATCGCCTCAAAAAGTGTACTGCCAAATATTTTTATTTAAAATCAAAGCTGCCAGTGGGTGTATATTACCTTGCCTGGCAAGAAATGAGAAATAAGTTAGAAATTCTTCAATCTACTTCAGTATGTGCCCTTCAATACATAATGCTTCAACTTTTATTAGTAGACGCTGGTGAGGTACTTTGTCGAATGCATTTAAAACAAATCAAAATAGACCATGTCGATAGGGTTATTATAGCTAATGACATTAGTCAGGTAGTCTAGTTGATCGGCCACGTCTTAATCCAAACAGTTCTTCATGCAGCAGATGGTTTCTTTCCAGGTGATTCATCATTTCGTCACGCAGTATGGATTCCGGTGTTTTGACGAAAATGCTAAAAGGTCTATAGTAAGAAGCTTTCTTCTTATACAGTCTGTTTTGAAAAGTGGTACAACATTTGCTTCTTTCCAGCAAGTTGTTTCGTCTAGTGAGAATTGGAATAATATTCTGAGTGCTTCTGATTAGCTCAATTCCTTTAATACTTTTTAAAACTACATTTTTAAATTATTTTTGTCGTATTAATACTTCTTTGTTATTTCTGTATCCACTGAATATTTCATGTCGATCAGTTTCCTCACGGAGAATGATTTTCGTAGTCCTATTTTGATTTGTCACTTGCTTCCTACTCTGATTATAGATGTGAATAGATGTTTGCACCGATGACGTTCACAATCTCCCGAATCTGTTTTGTATCGTCTGATTTTCTGCGTTCACTATCATTGGACTGGGATTCTAATAGATAGATAGATAGAATAGCATAATGTTATTTTCACGTTTTCTCTGTTCTTCTCTCTTTTGAATCTTATCTTTAATGTCTGACAGAACATCTTTTTCATGCGGTTCCTTTCGGCATTATCTGAATTGGGATATCTGTTTGAATTCTTTCAATTATTTCCTCAAATATTTCGAAGCGTTCTTTATTGTCATTCTCAATTTGTTCCAGACTAGCACACATTTTACTGAATTTGCATACTTTGCTTGTCCACAACATACAGTGGACTCACCTTCAATCAAAATTGGGGGATATATTTGAGCATTTAAAACAGAAATGTTGTTCACAAACTTCAATTTCAACGTAACATTGGATCTGCTCACAAGACAAGATTTGTTCCTCGCTACTAACTCAACTCTTTTCTTATTTTTGTCAGATAACCTGTTACCTGGTTGATCCCAAAACTCCACGGCGTTCATCATCTGTGAACAATACTTGTCGGTCTATAGCAACTGAGATACTATGTGATTTCGGTTGACGATATGACTGTTTCGGGATATCAGATAACAATCTACTACAAGAACCTTATGAAACTTATTTTTCATTAAAGGAATATCAAAAACCTTGAAAATTCATAGAATATTAGTAAAAATTAGAGTAAAGATTTCGGAAAATTTTATAAACCCGTCATCACTGCGCATGCGCACTCCGGAATTGCAGAAACCACAGGCATCGGATTGGAATGTCCCAAATAGAATTCAAACTTTAACTACTAGTACAAACGTACAGTCTACATAGACGAAATCCCGCTAACTCCCAGGTCAACATACGCTCTACAAACGATCATCGAATCTCGATAATCCTGACAATATAATATATAACCAAGGTTAGCACTGATGAATCATAATTACTGTTTTGTTGACCTTTCATCACTACTGAGCCTCAGACATTACGACACCAGTGCCAGTTTTTTTTTATATATATTTTCGTGGATATAAGGATTCAACACCGAATTTCGTCAAAGTTAAAAAAACGAAAAACGAAATTTTATGTTTTAGATGTTTCCTCAGATATTTTACAAAATAATTAAATTTGGTTTATTTAAAACTTTTTTAATTATTTTGTAGAATATCTGAGGAAAAATCTAAGACATAAATTTTTTTTTTTCGTTTTTTTAACTTTGACGAAATTCGGTGT